CTATATACTAGGCTTTAAACCCAACTGCCGGTCCTATATACTAGGCTTTAAACCCAACTGCCGGTCCTATATACTAGGCTTTAAACCCAACCACCAGTCCTATATACTAGGCTTTAAACCCAACCACCAGTCCTATATACTAGGCTTTAAACCCAACCACCAGTCCTATATACTTGGCTTTAAACCCAACCGCCAGTCCTATATACTAGGCTTTAAACCCAACCGCCAGTCCTATATACTAGGCTTTAAACCCAACCGCCGGTCCTATATATGTTTATATATCCTATGTTTTTGTTCTGTTTTTTTCACACGTGGGTGATTTTGCGCAGGTTGCGTGTCATTGTTATTCTTCACAAGCTACAGACTTCTGGTGACAATATATTGCATCATTTTCTCACTCGCTCGCTCGAGACGTTTCAGATTATATATATATTTTTTTAGTAGTGGATCAGGTCCTCTACAAGGACAAGTCGCCCATTCACTGTGCAGGGACCTGGGGCTAGATTCACGAAAGCACTTACGAACATGTACATCTTTCCTCAATCTTTGACGGCTTTGGTTACATTTATTAAACAGTTTACAAGCATGAAAACTTGCCAATCAACAGTTGTTATTGTTATAAACAGCCTCCTGGTGCTTCGGAGCTCATTAACTGTTTAATAATTGTAAACAAAGCCGCCAAAGATTAAGAAAAGATGTAAACGTTCGTAAGTGCTTTCGTGAATCTGGCCCCTGAACAACATTTTTGATAAGCTATTGATGGGTTTGGAGTCCGTGTCGTAGAACTAGTGAGAACGGAAGGAATATATTAATGGGTCTGGGGTTACCCCCGTAGACCTAATGAGAGATTGTTGTTGTTTTAGATTCAGCTGCTCGGAACAAAAGTTCCAAGTAGCATAGGTTATGGTGAGCCAGTGGTGGACTTACCTGGCACAGGAGTGGGGCTGTAATTGGCAGGAAGGTTATCTTGAGATGATTTCGGGGCTTTAGTGTCCCCGCGGCCCGGTCCTCGACCAGGCCTCCACCCTCAGGAAGCAGCCCGTGACAGCTGACTAACACCCAGGTACCTATTTTACTGCTAGGTAACAGGGGCATAGGGTGAAAGAAACTCTGCCCATTGTTTCTCGCCGGCGCCTGGGATCGAACCCAGGACCACAGGATCACAAATCCAGCGTGCTGTCCGCTCGGCTCCCTCCAAGGTAGTTACATTGACGACATTGTTAGTTCAGCTTCATTCGAGGTCTCTTCGTACCGTCGGTAAGGACTGTATAGTTTATTCCTACGGACTCACTCACGCATCCTAAAGTTCCATTAGAAAACCCGTTTACAATTTCTCAAAGTTTAGGGTGGTAATTGGACACCATAGAGCTGGGAATCTTGATTAAATGAATCACACTTTGCAGGGTTGTAGCACTGGAGTGTCTCAAGTCTTGACAAATATATATACATTCGGTGTGCCTCCATCTGCAACTTATGTTAATTGGCTAGGCTGCCGTTTTATATATCAACTGAGAGTCTAGAGTAAACCGTAGCTACTGCATTGTTTGTTTTTTTGTAAAGCTGTTTATCTTGAGATGATTTCGGGGCTTTAGTGTCCCCGCGGCCCGGTCCTCGACCAGGCCTCCACCCCCAGGAAGCAGCCCGTGACAGCTGACTAACACCCAGGTACCTATTTTACTGCTAGGTAATCTAAGGTACCTGCAGATGTACCAAAACATGTTAATGCAAAAACAAATGACCTGGAGGATGCGGGGCGCATGGTAATCTCTCGCCTGGTGCTCAGCACAACAACCTTGCCTAGATAGTTGATGTTTTATGTACAGGTCGCCCAGTAAATTCGCCTGTCGGATCTGACTTTCAAATTTAAATTGGTTTGCCTATTAGTCATTCCCTTATCGCCTGCAACATGGTCGCCGCTGCTGCTTAGTGTTCAGACGGGGCTCGAACCATAGCACGAGGGTCTGTGACGATACCCAAACATCGCACGAGGGCCTACGACGATACCCAAACATCGCACGAGGGCCTACGACGATACCCAAACATCGCACGAGGGCCTACGACGATACCCAAACATTGCACGAGGGCCTACGACGATACCCAAACATCGCACGAGGGCCTACGACGATACCCAAACATCGCACGAGGGCCTACGACGATACCCAAACATCGCACGAGGGCCTACGACGATACCCAAACATCGCACGAGGGCCTACGACGATACCCAAACATCGCACGAGGGCCTACGACGATACCCAAACATCGCACGAGGGCCTACGACGATACCCAAACATCGCACGAGGGCCTACGACGATACCCAAACATCGCACGAGGGCCTACGACGATACCCAAACATCGCACGAGGGCCTACGACGATACCCAAACATCGCACGAGGGCCTACGACGATACCCAAACATCGCACGAGGGCCTACGACAATACCCAAACATCGCACGAGGGCCTACGACGATACCCAAACATCGCACGAGGGCCTACGACGATACCCAAACATCGCACGAGGGCCTACGACGATACCCAAACATCGCACGAGGGCCTACGACGATACCCAAACATCGCACGAGGGCCTACGATGTGCTCCAGTGCCTGTTATTCGCATGATGATCCCGCACAAAACCCCTTCCCCCCTACCTGCAGGTCTAGCACCCTGTGGCAATGCTACTCATACACTCACCCTTCCAGGGACACCTGCAGTTCTTCCCTCTTGAAAGATGCAAGACTTCTTCACCTCGAATGTTGCACAGTCTTTGTTATTGTCGATGCTACCATATGCCTCTCCGTTGATTGATAAGGTTGCAATATATATCCTCAGCTTTATATTTATGTCTATGGAACCCTGCCTATTCACCAGTTGGTCTTCAAATGTAATGACTCGTTGTTAGTTGTCGGTATTGTACACGTCTATCACAATGAGGCAGTTTCTTGCCGCATTGTTACGTTCACTTCTCTCTGCACGCCCTTACAGTCTGAGGGGAAGCGAGCCTATTGACGCCAGGAGTAAAGAGAGAGCTGACCTTACCCACTGCGTGCGTGTGTGTGTGTGTGTGTGTCTGTGGGTGGGTGGGTGGGGGTCGCTGTGCAGTGGAGCCCATCCCAGGGGCCCACGTTCACACCTCGGGAATTGAATAAACGGAGTGGGGCGCCTCGGTAATTCTTTGTGGGTTAACTTGATGACATGTAGAGGGTTATTGTTTGTGATATGTGTTCACCTCACCTCCCTTTATTTGTCTCTATCCATCTCTCTCTCTCTCTCTCTCTCTCTCTCTCTCTCTCTCTCTCTCTCTCTCTCTCTCTCTCTCTCTCTCTCTCTCTCTCACTCAGCCGTTTAACGGAGGAAGGAGTCTTGAGAGACATTAATAATAGAAACGTGACCCCTGCCAGAAGATGGAGTTAACAATCTACTACAAGAGCAAGAAGACCGTTCACTTGCTCATAAAGAACACTCCCAACACTAAACGACACATCTTAAAGGAGACAAATGTCGTCTATGCCTGCACGTGCCCACTTGGGGACTGTCAGCCCCAACGATATCAATATATAGGCAAGACAGCAACATCTCATTCAAGGTGCCTGACAAGACAATCCACAAATGGTAAACAAAGAACATATAATCTCTGACACCTAACCTACAAGTTTGAAAGTAAAAGAATTGACCACTGTTCGGTTGTTTTGGATCATTATCAAGTTGTGTAAGGGAAAATAGAGTGGAGGAAAGTTAATTTACATACCTAACCTAACCTAACCTTCTTAACAAACGTGATGTGGCAGCTTTGCTGCTCTCTCTTTGGGCTCTATTTCACCTCATTCCGCTGGTCATTTGGCCTATTGCAGCTTTCTCTTATTTCTGTACTTCAACTTTATTCCCTCACTTCTACAGTTTGCCTTCTACTTTTATTTTTTACACTTCCCTTTTATTCCATTACATCATACCTATTCCTATACTTTCCATTTTATCCATACTTCACATCTGTTCCCATACTTCATCCCTTTCCTACACCTACTCCTTCTTATCTTATTCCTTTTCTTTATCCTACGGTCTCACGTGGTCGACGACCGGGCCGCGGGGACGCTAAGCCCCGGAAACGAAACACTTCAAGGTAACTTCTACTCCTACCTTATCAAATAACTTTCTGTCAAACTCTCCTACGGGCTGGTGGTAGGAAAATTTTGGTAACTATGTGTACCATAGTACAAACATTGACGTACAAAGCACTTAGTAGAATTTGGTACTATTCACTTTATAGTCCCCAAAGTGATGGTAAAAAAACAAACTTAAATATTCCTAGGGCTACTATAGTACACATATGTACTATAGTAGGTCTCAGATAGCGTGTATTAGGCCCAGGAAGGTTAGGTTAATTTAGGTTGTCTTTGCAGCAAAATCGTTTCCGGTGTGTCCAATTTCAATAGTACAGATTTCTACATTCTAATTGCGTTGTACGTCGGTATATATGTACTATGGTGCTCATCATTACTATAAGTACTACCACAACTGGGGCCAGATTCACGAAGCAGTTACGCAAGTACTTACGAACGTGTACATCTTTCCTCAATCATTGACGGCTTTGGTTATATTTATTAAACAGTTTACAAGCATGAAAACTTGCCAATCAACTGTTGTTATTGTTATTAACAGCCTCCTGGTGCTTCGGAGCTCATTAACTGTTTAATAATTGTAAACAAAGCAGCGAAAGATTGAGAAAAGATGTACAAGTTCGTAAATGCTTGCGTAACTGCTTCGTGAATCTGGCCTCTGGAGGCTGGGCTGGCATAATAGTATTGGGTATTTTGACCAGACCACACACTAGAAGGTGAAGGGACGACGACGTTTCGGTCCGTCCTGGACCAATCAAGACAATCGACTTGAGAATGGTCCAGGACGGACCGAAACGTCGTCGTCCCTTCACCTTCTAGTGTGTGGTCTGGTCAACATACTTCAGCCACGTTATTGTGACTCCTCGCCTGCACTATTGGGTATTCACTGACCTTGCTCAATGGTGTTGTCCAAGAGGATGGGGTTGCCTCGCCAGGCGATCACGTCTCCCTTATGGTTAAAGGTGAGGACCAGTTTGCCCAGATACTTGCCAAAAGCGTAGGCCTGTACCACGGGGACCCTCTTCCCCGACCCCTGGGTCACGATCGTTGGGTACTCTCCCACCTTCGGCTCCGTCGATGGGTTTTCACCTGAAGGGCAGGAGATGAAGGGTCATCTGGAACTCGAGGACTATATTCACAATTGGCATAGTTACCCCTAGTGATCATGATTCTTACACAATTTGTCTACATATCGATAAAGAATTTGTGTTCAAGTGTTCCTGTTACGATTGGCAAGCCACGCTTCGTAATTTTTCATCACTATCTAAATCAATAAAAAAATTCTAATTAGGCCAACTGTATGAACAAATAATTACCGTACATGGTCAATAAACCATACCATTGTGTTTGTATTATAGTTTAAAAGATAGAAGGCTTCCGTTATATAACCTATAGACACTTAAACTAGATTTTTTTCCAATATATGTAAACCGCTTCTCGGTGTATAATCTCAGTTTACTTTAGTCTAGAGCTTAAGTATACTTGCCGGTTGGTCAGTAATCTATTGTGTTATCCTTAACAATCTTCCGTTGATAGGCGTTTAAAGCCTATTTAAGTCCATTGACCTATAGAAACCCAAGAGGAGGATTTAAGAGGACTCCAAGTCCTCTTAAATCCAGCGCCACTAAACTCACCAGTGTAGAGGAACGTATTGGTGTGGCCGCCGACCACAGCATCCACCTCTTCTACTTCCTTGGCGATCTCCAGGTCCTTCCTGTAGCCCGAGTGTCCCAGAGCGATGATAATGTCGACACCCGCCGCTTTCAGTCTCCTGGCCTCCGCGCGCACCGCCTTGGCCTCGTCTGTGATGATTAGCTTCCCGGGGCTCGCTATAGTCTGGGCGGGAGGGCAGGCCACACCACACATTAGCATTATTATTATTATTATTATTAACATCTTTATTGACAAAATTAATTACAATTTTGCCTAATCTGAGGATTTCGATAAAGCCTTATTAAAGTGAGGACATTAGCATGGGGTTATTTTCAACGTAGCTCAAGCATTGGGGCAGACCCTCAACGCGGCTCTAATATGGAGCAGACCCTCAACGCGGCTCTAATATGGTATATATCCTCAACGCAGCTTTAATATGGGGTATATCCTAAATGCAGCTTTAACATGGGACAGGTTCCTGAACGTAAGTGTAAGGCTATCTCTAAGAGCCATTTGCCCAGTTATGTTCACTTACCTGCCACGTTTAAGTTATTGAAACCAATGAATTTGCTTTATTGATTCTACTTATTTCAAGAGAGCTTGGGTAGAGAACAAGTGATCTGAAGACTTTAACTCAGTTTTATTCCTTTCCCGTGGCGCTTAATCAGTAGACACAGATATATATATATATATATATATATATATATATATATATATATATATATATATATATATATATATATATATATATATATATATATATATATATATATACTAAACGCAAAATATACATTTTTGGTGACCATGAGAGGACGGGGGTGGATTAAATTGATGAAAATAGCATTGTTCAGTCTATATATAAAAAGTTAGAATGTTTGTCCGTCTTTCTGCCTGTCCAAAGTTGGAGGCCAGAAGCTTGGGGCTAGCCTCACCAAAATTTGCAGGGGAAAATGGTCTGGTTTACGGGACGGTCATACGCTGGTCGAGGTCGGCCTAAGTTAAATAATTGAAGAAATATTAGTCAGGATGAGTATGGGGTTCATTACCACCTACAGGATGAGTATGTGGGTCCACTACCACCCACAGGATGAGTATGGAGTCCACTACCACCTACAGGATGAGTATGGGGGTCCACTACCACCCACAGGATGAGTATGGAGTCCACTACCACCCACAGGATGAGTATGGAGTCCACTACCACCTACAGGATGAGTATGGAGTCCACTACCACCTACAGGATGAGTATGGAGTCCACTACCAGCTACAGGATGAGTATGGAGTCCACTACCACCTACAGGATGAGTATGGAGTCCACTACCACCTACAGGATGAGTATGGAGTCCACTACCAGCTACAGGATGAGTATGGAGTCCACCACCACCTACAGGATGAGTATGGGGTCCACTACCACCTATAGGATGAGTATGGGGTCCACTACCACCTATAGGATGAGTATGGGGTACACTACCACCTACAGGATGAGTATGAGATCCACTACCACCTACAGGATGAGTATAGGATCCACTACCACCTACAGGATGAGTATGGGGTCCACTACCACCCACAGGATGAGTATAGGGTCCACTACCACCTACAGGATGAGTATGGGGTCCACTACCACCCACAGGATGAGTATAGGGTCCACTACCACCTACAGGATGAGTATGGGGTCCACTACCACCTACAGGATGAGTATGGGGTCCACTACCACCCACAGGATGAGTATAGGGTCCACTACCACCTACAGGATGAGTATGGGGTCCACTACCACCCACAGGATGAGTATAGGGTCCACTACCACCTACAGGATGAGTATGGGGTCCACTACCACCCACAGGATGAGTATGGGGTCCACTACCACCTACAGGATGGGCATGGGGTCCACTACCACCTACAGGATGGGTATGGGGTCCACTACCACCTACAGGATGTGTATGGGGTCCACTACCACCTACAGGATGGGTATGGGGTCCACTACCACCTACAGGATGGGTATGGGGTCCACTACCACCTACAGGATGGGCATGGGGTCCACTACCACTTAAAGGCTTAGCATGAGAGAGCATAATAAATCAATTAAGCTAAACTATAAAATCACATTATACAGACAACGAGTCCAGTACTTTATAGACATTAATTTTCCCTGTTGGTTATCAGAGCATGGACGTCTGAAACAATGACAATTACTGTTATAATGACCCTGGAATTAGAGAAGATTTATAAATGAGCAGTTAGCCAGAACTCACTTTGTTAGGCTTTCCAATATTAAATGCTGTGGGTGCTATTATTAATGCCGTTATCATTAACGTCAGTAATGAAAGTGAAGGAAAGTCTCAATACATATGTAAGTTTAATATTTAAAAAAAATTAGAATGAAGCCTACGAAAATGAGATTTAATATTGCACTTACTAATAAGTGTGGTAAGCTTTTTCAATATTATTTATGTGTTTTCTCCATAATGTAATTGGTATTAGAAGCAAGAGTATTTGATGTTTGTCGGTTGTCAATTTCATGCAAAGCACATCGTTGTCAAAAGAAATGTAACTTTGTGTTAAATTAGTTACCAAACCTGAAAATTATTATTTTATTTTTCTATTCATAATGCGAAAAGAACTGATGAAGAACAAGGGTAGTGTAGGAGAATGGAGGACAGGGCATGATGATAAGGGTAGTGAAGAAGAATGAATGATAAATGAGTGTGCAAAGGGCAGTAACGAAACAAGTGAGACAGGTGAGAGACAAGATCGTCCACAGTGACAGAGATATAATGTGGCACGAGAAAAGGGGCGATAAAAAAAGGGAAGATATAGAGGAATGGAAGAGAATGAAGGCCCCCGCCCCACACACACACACACACACACATATACTAAGACACCCACAAATAAGACTGTTGTTGGTTGGTTGCAACACGTCAAGGTGGCTGTCTACTTTCATTGTGTTGAGTTGCAGCATGTGTGTAATGTTGTGTCTCATTTTTTTCTGCAATACGAGGTATATGTGCCTTTATATCGAGCCTGTAATGTGTTGATATTGTTTCCGTGTGGTGTTGTACCCGTGTGTGGTGTTGTACCCGTGTGTGGTGTTGTACCCGTGTGTGGTGTTGTACCCGTGTGTGGTGTTGTACCCGTGTGTGGTGTTGTACCCGTGTGTGGTGTTGTACTCGTGTGTGGTGTTGTACCCGTGTGTGGTGTTGTACCCGTGTGTGGTGTTGTACCCGTGTGTGGTGTTGTACCCGTGTGTGTGTGTTGTACCCGTGTGTGGTGTTGTACCCGTGTGTGGTGTTGTACCCGTGTGTGGTGTTGTACCCGTGTGTGGTGTTGTACTCGTGTGTGGTGTTGTACCCGTGTGTGTGTGTTGTACCCGTGTGTGGTGTTGTACCCGTGTGTGGTATTGTACCCGTGTGTGGTATTGTACCCGCGTTGTGTTAAATTCGTGTTGTTGATATTGGTGAAGTCATGTTGTGCTGATCCCATGCTGAACTGATGCTAAACCAACGTGTTGAACCCTTGATGTGTTGAGGTTGTATGTAATCATATTTAAAGAACCTTGTGAAGCCTAATAAACACACACACACACACACATTTGGGCGGGATCCAAGAGTCAATGCTCGATCCTGCAAGCACATATAGGTGAGTACACACACACACACACACACACACACACACACACACACACACACACACACACACACACACACACACACACACACACACACACGCACACACACTTTATTTCAAAATCTCGTTTCGGGAGCATAACCAGTAAATATAGCGTCATCTAGAAAAAATGATGGATTAAGAGAACCTTCAAATCCAGGAATCCCATCACAATGCTTATACGATTGAAATCACTTGTGCAATCCCGCCTTGAGTACTGATCGATACTCATTCTTCCATTCAGAGCGGGAGAAATTGCTGAAATAGAGTACAGAGAACATATATGGCATACATACACACGATAAGGTACCATATACTTTTGGGATCGTCTCAAAGCTCTCAAAATGTACTCTAGAAAGAAGACGAGTGAGGTATCAAATAATATACACATGGAAAATACTGGAGGAAATCCCTAATTTACACAGAAAAATAACAACATACTGGAGCGAACGATATTGATGAACATGCAGAATAGAGTCAGTGAAGAGTAGATCGAGGTGCCATAGGCAAAGAGAATATTGTCTGAATATCAGAGGTCCTCGGTTGTTCAGTATCCTCCCAGCAAGGTATAAGAAATATTGCCGGAACAAAATTGGTTGTCTTCAATAAAAAAATGGATAGTTTTCTGTGAGAAGTTCCGGACCAACCAGGCTCTGGTGGATAAGTGGGCCTGCGGGCCGCTCCAAGCAACAGCCTGTTGGACCAAGTAATCACAAGTCATCCTAGTCCTGGGCCGGGCTTGAAGAGTAGAAGACCTCCCAAAAACCCATGCAAGTGCAACCCATGTATCCAGCTCATACTCCTTAATCATATAAACTCCTAATGGAAGCCTAACCCCATCTATGCCTTAATACTTCATGAGTAAACAACGCGAAAATCCATGTCGAATCTTCTTAATAAATAAAACAATTGAGAAATCAAACTTTCACCCAGAATTATCTTTGCAATAACGGAAATTACATACCAGTTAAACGTCTACCCGCTGGGAAAAACACGCAGAAAAAGGAAATGGAACGGTCAGCAGCGTTAATATACTGTGAAATTATCTTACGATCAACTCACCATTGTCTCTGTGGTGAGGTAACCCACCACTCCAACTTTGTGTGCTCCCATGGTGAAGACTGTCGACTTATTGTACTTCCCCTGGAAGGACTTCTCGTAGGTGTCGTCGATGTTGGCTGCCAGCACTGGAAACTTGATGACCTCCAGGAAGGGCTCGATACCGCTCACGCCATCGTCAAACTCGTGGTTGCCGAAGGACTGCGGAATATCAAGTGAATAATATTAAGGATTTTATATTGACAAAATCAAAAATAAAAAACTACTGCAACAGGAGACATGAATGGGAATTTATTCATGCTAGATATGTTAAGAGCTATCATTAATAATTTTAAATTTATCTTATAATTCAAGGAAATCTGTATTGCTTATACATTTCTAAACCTTTGTAAAATTACTGCCTGAATTATTTAGATATTGTTTGGTGTTGGGTTTAAGGCATATCAACCTCTGGAGATCTAGTAGGGGCTTTTATATATATATATATATATATATATATATATATATATATATATATATATATATATATATATATATATATATATATATATATATACTAGAAATAAAAATGAATTTTGGAGAATTGATTTTTCATTTACCATCAACAGTGAAAAGAAACATAAGAAAGATCGAGAAAATTCGTGTTAGAATTATTAATCTTACTTTTTCGGTCATATTTAATAATATATAATATATATATATGTATATATATATATATATATATATATATATATATATATATATATATATATATATATATATATATATATATATATATATATATATATGTCGTACCTAGTAGCCAGAACGCACTTTTTGGCCTATTATTCAAGGCCCAATTTGCCTAATAAGCCAAGTTTTCCTGAAATAATATATTTTCTCTATTTTTTTTCTTATGAATTGATAAAGCTACCCATTTCAATATGTATGAGGTCAATTTTTTTTTATTGGAGTTAAAATTAACGTAGATATATGACCGAACCTAACCAACCCTACCTAACGTAACCTAACCTATCTCTATAGGTTAACCTAACCTATCTCTAAAAAGTTAGGTTAGGTTAGGTTAGGTAGGTTAGGTAGTCGAAAAACAATTAATTCATGAAAACTTGGCTTATTAGGCAAATCGGGCCTTGCATAGTAGGCTGAGAAGTGCGTTCTGGCTACTAGGTACGACATATATATATATATATATATATATATATATATATATATATATATATATATATATATATATATATATATATATATATATATATAATATAATATATACTTTAGCACAGGGAAAGGTGCCTACCGGATGTCAGTAGCTCGTTTAAGGTTGTGACTTCATTAGGCTAGGTGCACAGGGGCGGCTTTAAACACAAGGCGCTTGTCTGCCTTTGTAACTTGTTCCTTTATGCCACTGAATATTTAATGAACACTTTAATCTTTGAGAAAGTGTATTTTAAACTTGTACATAGCTCGTAGTATATCATATATATTGTGATGGGCAAATAAATGTTTTGTATAACATTAAGTATTTAATTAATTCTACCTGTTTAATTAATTCTGCCTTATCAAGTCAGTTGTATACTTCACAACAACAAGATAAACATGTTAACATGGCTCTTTTTTTTTCGTGGTAAACTACTTGTAGCTTTCCCTTCCACCTTTTTATACTTGTAGCCTAAGGGGGCACACGTACTAAGGGACACAGGTGGAAATTAAGTGCCCAAAATGAGCCATAGAGACGTTAGAATTAATTTTTTCAGTGTCAGAGTAGTAGACAAATGGAACGCATTAGGAAGTGATGTGGTGGAGGCTGACTCCATACACAGTTTCAAGTGTTAGTCAGCTTCTGCGTCATTCATCCCTATGAATCCGTTCTCCTGAACAGTATACATAGCATTTTGACCTATTTTGGACCCCTAAGGCCAAAAACTGATAGTACTGAAAATGGTAACGACTCGCGATATTGCCGTGATGTCTTATTTGCTGTTCACGCGTTATGGGGTTTGTTAGGGTCGGGCAATTTAGTACAGCAGTTTTGTGACGTTGGGAACGGTTGTCCCTATACGTTCTCAAATGGTTCCCCATATTGTATTGCATCAATACAATATGACCGAGGTAAACAGTGTCGTGGTATAAATATAATACTGGGCGTTAAAACAGGCGAACCCAAGCTGCTTTTCATACTATCGTGTATTTTGTCCATTAGAAATCATAGTGTACAAAATGCGTTGTGCTAGTGGAGATGACAAGTTGATGAGGCTTTTAAATAACTTAGTTCCTAGTACAGACTCTAGCAACTAGGAACTAATTTATAGTTCCTAGTTCAGACTCTAGCAACTTAATGCATAGTTTATCAGCTCCTGTTTCAGACTCTGTAAATGATTATATTGCAGTAACAAGTCTCCCTGGTATACTGAACCTTCTTGACTGCATTATTCAACTCCCTGAACATATAGATAGTTTATTGCTTACACTCTGCATCTCAACTATGTAGTGGACCAAATATATCATTCGAATTTAAATATATCACCTATTATGGTTTTGGGTATAGCTTTGTTTACGTGTGAAGAGTATGTTTGGGTTTTCCAAACAGTTTTTTTTTTTGGGGGGGGGGGCATGAAGGGAGGAAAGTGGTGTTTGTTTTATATGGATGTGTATATGACCCTAAAATGGAGAACAGGAGGTGTCGGCCCTACTGTCAATTGATTGATTGATTAGGATTAAGCCAACCAGGACGTGGCACGGGCATGAATAGCCCGTAAGTGGTAGATTTCATTTTTTATTTTTAGTGAATGTATACTGTGTGCCTACTGGCCCTATATATACCTACTACAGGTCACTGGAGCCTGGCCTGACCGGTGTTACCTGTGATTTCAATTTACAGGCGTTCAAGGTGTGCCCACAGTGATTGTTTTTATGCGTTTAATGAACGTCTGAGAAGACGGAAGAAAGTTCGTGGCATCAATACAATATGGCCGAGGTAAACAAGGTCGTGGCATCAATACAATATGACCGAGGTAAACAAGGTCGTGGCATCAATACAATATGACCGAGGTAAACAAGGTCGTGGCATCAATACAATATGACCGAGGTAAACAAGGTCGTGGCATCAATACAATATGACCGAGGTAAACAAGGTCGTGGCATCAATACAATATGACCGAGGTAAACAAGGTCGTGGCATCAATACAATATAACCGAGGTAAATAAGGTCGTGGCGTCAATATAACATGGCCAGGGTAAAGGCCGTAGGTTCATACTACTTCAAATATTGATGAACTGGTAAGGCACTACGGGCTCACCATAGCCCGTGCTACTTGGACTTTTTGTTCCAGGTAGCGAATCTTTAACAACAACAACAACAATGATGAACTGGTGTTTGGGTATAGTGTGTGTGTGTGGACGTTGCCAGCCCATAGGCGCTGTGCTGTGTGGATAAAACACAGCGTAACTTATGCACGGAGATCGGAAAAAATAAAAATCATAGCCAAAACATAAATATTATGACGTCAGGTTGAAGTCCGTTTATTGAGACAATACAGTACATCTCAAAGGGATAGAGTAGCTTAGGCTATTATTACTACCCCGTACAGCTCTGCTAGCCAGCGGGTTCTCCATATTACTGGAATTTCCATTTTATTGCCTAATTAACCAAGTGTTTTAACAAGTAACCCCGTTTGAGTAGCAAGTAAACTGCTAAGTCTATATTATGTAATGACCCAGAAAAATAAAGTAAAAATTATCTGTGTGAATATACCATCGGTCAAAGGGATCACCAATCTATGACCGCAGGCGCTTAACGTCCATAATTACATGGAAATGGCGCGCTAGGCTGCTGTGAGGTTCCAGGTAGCCTTATGGTCCGATAACATGATTAAATCGGTCATGAAACATGCATGTGATGATTTATATGGTGGACTGTAAACAGGACCGCGATCCTGTGGGCTTCCACTGTCTCAAGACCCTTTGTTTTTTTTCGACGAAGCAAAATCTTCATTAACTTGTCGAAGTTGATTGTGTCCTTCATCTGGCAACCTATACCACGAGTCTTGCTTGTATGACGTTAAAATATTATTTTGTCTATTAAATCTATTGTGATGGTAAACATGTATCAAATATTAGATTTGTTTTATAGGATAGTTTTGTATCGTTAGTTTGGAAATTGAAATTGAAATAAGTTTATTGAGGTCAAATGCACACAAAGGGATGAGGTAGCTCAAGCTATTCTCACCCAGTTCAGTACATCGTGTTAGTACATACATAGACACACATCACAAACAATAAACAATAGTTTGGTGTTGGACCTAACAACCTCTGGTAATTAACGCCACCACAATAGTTTACTGACCAACCAGCAAGTATACTATATGTCACTGTCACTAGAGTAAACCTTTAGTGTATATACATCGAGAAGAACGTACATTATCTTGTATTTATGTTTGCAGGTTACATTTGCATTTTAAAAGTACTACAATCGCTTTCTGTGGTTGATTGTTCAATAAATCACTGAACTATATGTTTAACAGATCTTTAACCTAGTTCATGAAGGACAGAAGAAAATGTATATATGCTGGTTAGCATTGTAACTGTGTAACCACGTCTGTGATAGAGAAAAAAACAAGAAAGGTTAGGGTAGACAGACCACCAGCAGCAGTGTGGCGATGGCATGGATCACGCGTGACGCAACGCACACAAGAGACATCGATACGCATCAAAGCTCTCTTGTAAGAAATGACGAGGCGTGACGGAGTCCTGATGGTAGTCTGCCTAGCGTGTCAAAGATACTTTTCTGCCCACCCTGATTATCTCAGAGCGAACAATACAGTTGGGAGAAGCAGAGGGACCCCGCGCGCGGATCAGGTTGAGAGAGCTTGCCCGGCACACCCTTCAACAGCCTAACGTTACCACCAGCACGTCCGCAGTAGCTCACAGCAGCTCCACTGGGTCTTATATCTTATTACCCTTAATTCAGCTTTAAAGTTGGGACATGATAATTCCATTTAACAAGAATTTGCGAGCTGTCCTTACAAGAACAGCAGGAGTCGTGGCACCTAACATAACGCGCAGGATCTGAACAACTTTACATAAACTATGAGAGTTGCAGGATGTAAGGAACATATCCCAGGAAGTCTTGCATGTAACGTTTCACAGGAAGACGATTTACACAGCTGACCGAGCAAATTTCCATGACCACTTTCAGCTGCTGCTCA